ATTTTCCGAACCACTGTACCTATTCAAACTACAAATGCATTTGCGTCAGAATATTAGTTGACTGTTATGGTCTTCATGGTCTGAACTTAATGTTAAGTAGAGGATATAACAAGAAGTATGTTATGAAAAAAATATGCGTTTTATGGTATTTAATTGAGATGTTCCGTGTCATAATCATGGTAAATTGTACTGGCTAGTTAATGAGTAAGAGACGTGTGCAACATTTAGGTATCTTGCCGAAACGTTTCGCCTGCGCAAAAGGCTTCTTGAGATAAATACAGATGTGCTTCCTTAAAGAATAAAAAGGCACAATAACGTGACTGGAACAATACACAACGACGCTTCGGTCCTTCTCGGACGATTAGTTAGTCAGCTAATTAAATAATGGTCCAAGTAGTGTCTCTATATGTCGTCTGAAGAAATTTCCTACGCAGGCGAAACGGTAATAAAGATACCCAACCGTTGTACAGATACCTTAACCATCAAAGTGAGATCAACTGTTGCCATCCTGGACATTGATCCAAGACTTCTTCCTCTTCTTGCTTCAGCAAAGAGGTTAACAGCGCCTCTGGCCTAGCTTTCAGAATGCCACTTGTGCTTGTATAAGGGTAAATGTTCCATTGTTTGTAGGAGTGAACCCGGCTCTCTCGGCTGTCTGCAAAAAGTGCCACCACACTTCCGACTGTCTTAACAATTGTAAACTTAATAGAACGACGATGGAAATGAGTGACTTCATGTAATTTACACATATGTTTCTAGGTATGATGATTGTGCTTATGTGTACTTATCTTCAGATTGACCACTGATTAAGAAAAATACGGACGTGTGTGTGAGTACTCACCTAATTGTGGTTGCAGGAGTCTAGACTCAGCTCCTGGCTCACAGCCTCTTCACTGAACGTTACTAGGTCCTCTCTCTCCCGTCTCCATGAGCCTTATCAAACCTCGTCTTCAAGCTATGTATAGTTCCTGCCTCCTCTGTGTGTGTGTGTGTGTGTGTGTGTGTGTGTGTGTGTGTGTGTGTGTGTGTGTGTGTGTGTGTGTGTAAAAAAGCTATAGACAATTTACTTTAATCCGTTTTAAGGTGAAAATAGCAATCTTTGTGACCCTCAAGCAGCTGACAACCGTTTTCAATCTCAAACAAGAGAGATTCATGACCGTATCATTTGGCGTCTAGTATCACATTAGGAAATCCTACACTATATAAAAGGTCACCGGTAGCAGTTAGAGGATTGTACTACTTAAATGGGATCCCGTACCATATCAAAGAGAATCCTGGACAATAAATACGAGAGTCTGGTACCAATAAAACAAGAATCCAGTGCTCTTCAGAGAGGATTCAGTACCATAATAGAGAATTCAATACCAAAAAAAAAAAAATAAAAGTAACGTAAGGAAAGAATCCAGTAGCATATAAAGAAAAATATTACCATTAATAATTAAAGGAGTATCCAGTACCAGAGAAAATCGAGTACCATGAAAAGGAATCAAGTACCATAAAAAAAGAATCCAGTACCAGAATACAGTGTCAAATACCATAAAAGAGAATCCAGTACCAAAATAAAGAACCTAGTACCATAAAAGAAAATCCAGTACCATAAGAAAGAATCTAGTACCGCCAGAAAGGATTCAATACCACCGAGAAAGGACCCAGTACCACTTAGAAAGGATCAAGGACCATCTAGAAAGGAAAGGATCCAGCACTACCCAGAGAGGTTCCAACACCGCCCAGAAAGGATTCAACACCACCCAGAAAGTATCCAATACCAGCCATAAAGGATCCAACACCACCCAAGAAGGATTCAACACCAGAAAGGATCCAGTACCACCCAGAAAGGATCCAACACCACAAAGAAAGGATCCAACACCACGAGTATAACGTCCAATAAAATGACCTTTCCTGTCTCAATCAATAAGGGTTAATTTCTCTTTAACTCTCGCAAACATCTTCACGACCTTCGTGAATAATTAACTTTTTACTTGTTTTCAAGGGAAGGTGCCTTAATGCCGGTGAAGGGCTCTTGATCCAGGGAATTGCTGCTAACCTTCCCTTTCTCGGGATCAAACCTGATGACCTCTCATCTAACCGATACTGTACAATCACGTGCGGTTTTTGCGCTTCACTGAAATAATAAAATAATAATAATAATAATAATAATAATAGTACTACTACTACTACTACTACTACTACTACTACTACTACTACTAATAATAATAATAATAATAATAATAGCAGTACTACTACTACTACTACTACTACTAATAATAATAATAATAATAATAATAATAGCAGTACTACTACTACTACTACTATTACTAATAATAATAATAATAGCAGTACTACTACTACTACTACTACTACTAATAATAATAATAGTACTACTACTACTACTACTACTAATAATAATAATAATAATAATAATAATAGTACTATTATTACTACTACTACTTCTACTAATAATAATAATAATAATAATAATTGGCAAGAGAAAGCGTGAGTGTAACTAAAGCATCAACCTGTCTTAACGCAGCGTGCTCTGTTTCCTGTACTAAAGCCTTGATAATTCGTGATAGCAATTTCTTAATTACCCTAAGTAAAACTAAATAACATGCGTAATATCAGTTTTGATAATAATAATAATAATAATAATAATCATAATAAAAGGTTCTAGTGTCTGCCTTTAACATCAAAACAGGCCTTCAAATAAATTCTGATTAAGGCACTAGAGTAAGTTTATTCAGGTATACACAGTTTCACTATCATACATAGCAATATGTATTTACAGAACCTAGGATAACCCAAAAAAGTCAGTGACTTATGTCCACTGGGGTCCTTAGTACCGCTACAGGAAGATCAGGATAGGCAGATGTTATGGCCGGTAGAGGAGTGGCAGATGCAGTGCACTGTGGACTAATGTGATTGTCTGATCCTGGGAAAAGATAATGACCAAGGCACTTATACACTAACTAATACAGATGCCATTAGTCTGTATGCGAAAAGAAATAGGAGTTCTGGTTACCAAAAGTCAAGACTACAGTGCACAAGTGATCGTAAGTTGAATTTAATCATAATTGCTGCTAGCCGGGGAACAAACCCGTGTTGATTTAGCCCGTCTCTTGGGAAGAGAGCGAAAATTCACGACGCTCTAAACCACTGGACCATACAATCCTACACACAACATGAGCCTAGCGACCTAGGCTTGCTTCATGTTGCGAGGTCATACGATGGTGAGGTTGCCTCAGAGCTAATTTCATTCTACTCCCCGTTTGGTGTACTAGCCTCCACAACACGGGTTCGATCCTCCGGCTAGCCGCAGTTATATATATATATATATATATATATATATATATATATATATATATATATATATATATATATATATATATATATCGTGCCGAATAGTTAGAACTTGATATTTTGGCTTAAATAGCAACGTTTTTCTTGCCGAATAAGGTAAGGGAAATTTTGTGTATGCAATAATTTCGCAAAAATCTTTCTGAACATAACGAAAAAAATATATTTGATTGTGTTTGTGCATTATTAAATTATTGTAAACTTATCTAAAATATATTTAGTTGAATTAGGCTAAATTAAATTGCGCTTGTTATAATAAGGTTAGGTAAGTTTTCTAAGGTTCTTTTGGTACAAAATTATTAATTTTACACTAACATACATGTAAATGAAAAAAAAATATATATCTTTAAACGTATAAGAGAAAATTTTTAGAAAGGACTTAATTTTAAATGAGTTCTTACTAATTGACCAGTTTTACATATTCGGCACGACACACACACACACACACACACACACACACACACACACACACACACACACACACACACACACACACACACACACACTGTTTTTCATGGACTGACGAGTGACACATTTCGGGGTGACATTTCGGGACGACGTCTCGAGCATTCCGAGTCTTGCAGAACAATTGCATTAACAACATTCTCTATAATTAAGCTCTTGCAAATATATAACAATTAAAAATAGATTTTTAACATTTACAACGCAAGAAAAAATAAATTTTATATTTTTTACAATAGCATCAAAAGGTGCCACAAATTCCTAGTTAACACTGAGACCCGATTCAAATATAATAATTCATTCATGGCGAATGAATCCCTGGTTCATTCACTGGTTCATTCACTGGTTCATTCGAAGATATATGACGAACGAATCCCTGCTTCATTCAAAGATATATGACGAACGAATCCCTGGTTCATTCAAAGATATATGACGAACGAATCCCTGGTTCAGTCACTGGTTCATTCAAAGATATATGGCGAACGAATCCCTGGTTCATTCACTGGTTCATTCAAAGATATATGGCGAACGAATCCCTGGTTCATTCACTGGTTCATTCAAAGATATATGACGAACGAATCCCTGGTTCAGTCACTGGTTCATTCAAAGATATATGACGAACGAATCCCTGGTTTATTCACTGGTTCATTCAAAGATATATGGCGAACGAATCCCTGGTTCATTCACTGGTTCATTCAAAGATATATGACGAACGAATCCCTGGTTCAGTCACTGGTTCATTCAAAGATATATGACGAACGAATCCCTGGTTCAGTCACTGGTTCATTCGAAGATATATGGCGAACGAATCCCTGGTTCATTCACTGGTTCATTCAAAGATATATAGCGAACGAATCCCTGGTTCATTCACTGGTTTATTCAAATATATATGACGAACGAATCCCTGGTTCATTCACTGGTTCATTCAAAGATATATGACGAACGAATCCCTGTTTCATTCACTGGTTTATTCAAATATATATGACGAACGAATCCCTGGTTCATTCACTGGTTCATTCAAAGATATATGACGAACGAATCCCTGGCTCAGTCACTGGTTCATTCAAAGATATATGACGAACGAATCCCTGGTTCAATCACTGGTTCATTCAGATCTGGTTGAACCTGGTTTGTTTACGACTACGATCAGCGTAATTACTGACGAGGTGGTGGCTGAGTGTGTGTGTGATACAGTGCGATATATCATGTGAAAAACTGCTACAGATACGTGGATTGCAAGTTGCAAATACAGTGTGTGTGTGTGTGTGCGCAACATGGCAGTGTTGATATTTGTTATTGTTAAAATTTAAGTTCGTATGTTGGACGGACATACATTTGACTGACGTAAATTCTTTGACACAAAGTTGGAAAAGATATGCCGTGCTGAATAGGTAAAGTTTGCTATTTTGGCTTAAATAGCAATGCTCTTTTTGCCGAATAAGGCAAGCGAGAATTTGTGTATGCAATTGTTTCGCAAAAATCATTCTGAACCTAACGAGAAAAATGTTTTATTGTTTATTAAATTATTATAAACTTGTCTAAAATGCTTTTAGCTGGATTAGGCTAAAGTACAATGCGCTTGTTTTAATAAGGTTAGGTAAGTTTTCTAACGTTCTTTTGGTATAAAATTATTAATTTTTACATTAACATAAATGAAAAAAATATATCATTAAACGTATAAAAGAAAATTTTACAAAGGACTAATTTTAAATGAGTTCTTGCTAACTGGCCAATTTTACATATACGGAACGACGTTATATATATATATGGCTTAGCGCTTCTTTTTGATTATAATAATAATATATATATATATATACACACATACATACACACACATACACACACATACACACTCAAATACACACACACATACATACACACATACATACATACACACATACACACACGTACACACACACATACACACACGTACACACACACATACATACACGTACACACATACACACGCATACATACACACACATACACATATATTATTCGCCCTTGTATGTAAACTTGAGTTAACTTTAGTGGATTACCTATATTTGACGATAGTAAATAGGCAGATTTGCCTTGTAAAGTAGATGGGACAAGAATTTTTGTACCCAAGGGTTAATCCTGGTCGTTGTATACAAGTGAATAATAAAGGAATGTTTGTGAACTTTGATATAACATGTCTGTGAAGATAATGTTAGAATATATTTAGAATAAATACTGATGCAATGGATATGATTAACGAATTACTGGTGAAGGAGCGGCAGTGCAAGGTTCACAGCGTATATTGGTGACTCACGATGGTACCTCACCATTGCCTCCAGCAGCACCTAAATATCAAGGCTCTTGTTGCTCCGTCGTGATCAGGTATCTCCAAACTTAAAACTTTGTGCTATCAGCTCTCTAATAGCAGAATGCCGTATTTATATTGTTATCTTCAACAACGTCAACGCTGTAAAGTGCTCACTCTGTCCTCCTGAACTAACATATTGCACCAACATTAATTCTCATTTCGTTCTCGTTCTAACCATCGTCTCCTCTAAACTTTGTGCACTCCTCTTCCAATGCAGCAGTCTGACTCGTATAGACTTGAATCTTTTTTAGTCTAATACATACATAAGAGGTGTTTACTGTGTCCACACCTCTTGTGTTTGAATTTAATTATTTAATTATCAGCATTTAATTATCACAATTGTGAAGGCTGATAATTAAAGCCTGAGAAATACCGTTTTGGACATCGAACTTTTCGCAGTTCGACCACCACCTGGGAACCAGTTCTAACACCAGGGTTTCCCTGTACAATGATTGTTTTACGATGATTCAGGTCCCAATTCTAAAACGAGTGGTACTGTACAATATAAATAAATAATCTTTTTCTGTTACAGGTGAGTGTAAGGTTACAGCTCATCGTGGGACAACTCACAGCTTGTCAGGTAAGTTCAATTTCCAATATATTTTCCAGCATGCGTAACTGAAATATACCTCATTGCTAAGTGCTTGTTGTATCAACACTTCGGAGTTTCTCCCGGTAAGTTACACTGAGAGGGTTGTGGGATTGTCTCGTCTCTCCAGCTCAACTGATCGTGGCTGGCTTGTATATATGACTTTGCAGCAGAGATCTCTGTCTACAGTACCTGCTTCAATTACAGTAGTTACCAGTAGTGTTACTACATCCTGATTATGTAGAGCCAAACGTGGCTCGCCAGTGTCTGTGTACTATATTAGTTCTGAAAGCTGTGTATCATGGTTCGATAGGATGTTAGTGGCTAGCGGTATGTTTTTAAAGTGGGTAAGTTCTAGTAAAGGCAGGCAGAGTTGACTCAGTATATTTCCGCCGTCTTGAATGTTTCTGGTCTGTGCCCGCCGTGTTATGAGGACGTCTGGTTATGCGTGGGTTCTCATTACTATATTTCCCTTGCATAAACACCGTAAATTTGGTTTACCTGACGAGAATAGAGATCCGTCGCGAGTATCTTAAAATTTAAGGAAATCCCAGTTACCACGATGTCGTAGGAAGGCCACGTCCAGTCATATATTTATTGTCCAAGAAACTCCCATTCTGGTTCAGTCCCATAAACCCTAAGTACACTATCAGTCTATATATGTTGCTCGTATCCACAACGATGATGGAGTTGAGTGGACGGTTGCAGCACAAGTTCCACCAAATGGTCTCGCTATCCCTTCGATTAAATGCTGAATATGAGAAATGGTGATACCGACAAGATGTGGAAAGTCACCTACGTGCAGTTCAGGACATCTATTAGAGGAAACGTTTCGCCACGAGTGACTTCTTCAGTCCTAATAGTCATTCGTGGGGAAAGCCTTTCCTCTGAACTGTGCATAAGTCTTTTTTCACAATGAGTGGTTTAAGGTTCCTCTGAAGTGAGCTGTTGGTGGTAAACATACGCTCTCACTTCACTTGAACTATAGCCCTTATGCCCGGTCTCGTTCCCCTGGCTGTGTACTTCACCACTCTAGAGAAGGACAGCAGCCTTTGCTTTCTCTGATCTGCTGTTTTTTGTTACGTGGGATCCCGATATAACCTGGATCCCACTCCGACGTCATCCGATCTTTACCTGTGGCAGCAGAAATGGTATACTTTGCCGGTATTTTTGATGAATATAACACACAACACCTGGATATATTTATTCTAAAGACATTTCGTCAACCAGTGGCTTTGATCAATTCATTACATCGGTATTTGGTGTGTTGAAATGGGAGACGGTAGAAGGCGAGGTAATCAGCCTGGTTAAAGATTCGTCACCTTTGTCTTGATAAATCTGAAGCATAGGCAGGAAAATGGTCTGATGAGGGATAACAGTTGAAGTTATCTTCACCGAGGGCGGGACCTACTAGTGGAAGCAAGTCTTGACGTAAAACTGGGTTAGATTTACGACACTTCCTTGTGAGTACCGTAGCGTAGCACAAGCCTCGTGGATTCCACCCCTTCCAACCCAACTTTGAAGTGTCGAGAATTCCAGAAGACCTGAACAAGCCGTGCGAAATTCCCTGTAAATTTATACGCGTGTGATCTCAGTGATATCGTGGGCGTCCATAACGTGTCGTGAGCTTTCTCTGTGCCTAGAAAGACCAGTTTGTATTCCCAAAAGATAGGTTCCCTTGACAGCTGTTGCCAAACCAGCCAGTGGGTCAAACGTAGATTGTCCTATACGAAATCCAGTCTGTTATTCCATGAATTCTCCCGAAGCCTCAGCGTATGCAAAGCACGTTCTTATCCACCTTTTTCACCGTTTTGCCCTTAAAGCTCGTTGATGAGACTGGCTCGTTGATGAGACTCGCTTTGTTGAGCTGTCAGGATATTTACCCGGTATTAAAACAGGGAGCAGAGCAGCCAATTTCCACGCTTTCCTGCACTGTTCCGCTGTTCCCCGTTACATCACACAATCTTAAACGATGCTCACCTCAGGGAAGATTCCTTGACTTTGGTGAGGGGCTCTTGATCTAGGGAATTGGGTCTGTGCTCCAGTTTCCTGAATTATGCCTGAATACTTTCTATCCCCCCCTCCAAAAACGCCGTATAATCCCTCGGGTTTAGCGCTCTCCGTGATTATAATTAACAAAGGTGTCGGATCATCCGGTAGTTGCAACAAGATGCCTTAACACAATCCTCTCCCAAAACTGCATCTTCCATCAGCAGAATGCTTTGTTTCTGTTATATGTCGTGCCGAATAGGTAAAATTGGTCAAATATCAAGAACTCTTTTAAAATTAAGCCCTTTCTAAAATTTTCTTTTGAACATTTAAAGGTATTTTTTTCATTTATGTTAATATAAAAATCAATGATTTTGTACCAAAAAATCCTTAGGAAACTTGGCCTTATCCAGCTAAATATATTTTATGAGTTCATAATTTAATAAGAAACAGTGAAATATATTTTTTCCGTTAGGTTCAGAATGATTTTTGCGAAATTATTGCATACAAAAATTTTCGATTGCCTTATTCGCCAAAATAACAAGTTTTATCTATTCGCCCCGAGATATATATTATATATATAATTTTTTTCAACAAGTTGGTCGTCTCCCACCGAGGCAGGGTGACCCAAAAAAGAAAGAAAATCCCCAAAAAGAAAATACTTTCATCATCATTCAACACTTTCACCACACTCACACATTATCACTGCTTTTGCAGAGGTGCTCAGAATACAACAGTTTAGAAGCATATACGTATAAAGTTACACAACATATCCCTCCAAACTGCCAATATCCCAAACCCCTCCTTTAAAGTGCAGGCATTGTACTTCCCATTTCCAGGACTCAAGTCCTGCTATATAAAAATAACCGGTTTCCCTGAATCCCTTCACTAAATATTACCCTGCTCACACTCCAACAGATCGTCAGGTCTCAAATACCATTCGTCTCCATTCACTCCTGTCTAACATGCTCATGCACGCCTGCTGTAAGTCCAAGCTCCTCGACCACAAAACCTCCTTTACCCCCTCCCTCGAATATATATTTTTTATTTTATTATCACACTGGCCGATTCCCACCAAGGCAGGGTGGCCCGAAAAAGAAAAACTTTCACCATCATTCACTCCATCACTGTCTTGCCAGAAGGGTGCTTTACACTACAGTTTTTAAACTGCAACATTAACACCCCTCCTTCAGAGTGCAGGCACTGTACTTCCCATCTCCAGGACTCAAGTCCGGCCTGCCGGTTTCCCTGAATCCCTTCATAAATGTTACTTTGCTCACACTCCAACAGCACGTCAAGTATTAAAAACCATTTGTCTCCATTCACTCCTATCAAACACGCTCACGCATGCCTGCTGGAAGTCCAAGCCCCTCGCACACAAAACCTCCTTTACCCCCTCCCTCCAACTTTTCCTAGGCCGACCCCTACCCCGCCTTCCTTCCACTACAGACTGATACACTCTTGAAGTCACTCTGTTTCGCTCCATTCTCTCTACATGTCCGAACCACCTCAACAACCCTTCCTCAGCCCTCTGGGCAACAGTTTTGGAAATCCCGCACCTCCTCCTAACTTCCAAACTACGAATTCTCTGCATTATATTCACACCACACATTGCCCTCAGACATGACATCTCCACTGCCTCCAGCCTTCACCTCGCTGCAACATTCATCACCCATGCTTCACACCCATATAAGTGCATTGGTAAAACTATACTCTCATACATTCCCCTCTTTGCCTCCAAGGACAAAGTTCTTTGCCTCCACAGACTCCTAAGTGCACCACTCACCCTTTTCCCCTCATCAATTCTATGATTCACCTCATCTTTCATAGACCCATCCGCTGACACGTCCACTCCCAAATATCTGAATACATTCACCTCCTCCATACTCTCCCCCTCCAATCTGATATTCAATCTTTCATCACCTAATCTTTTTATCCTCATAACCTTACTATTTTCTGTATTCACTTTTAATTTTCTTCTTTTGCACACCCTACCAAATTCATCCACCAACCTCTGCAACTTCTCTTCAGAATCTCCCAAGAGCACAGTGTCATCAGCAAAGAGCAACTGTGACAACTCCCACTTTTTGTGTGATTCTTTATCTTTTAACTCCACGCCTCTTGCCAAGACCCTCGCATTTACTTCTCTTACAGCCCCATCTATAAATATATTAAACAACCACGGTGACATCACACATCCTTGTCTAAGGCCTACTTTTACTGGGAAATAATTTCCCTCTTTCCTACATACTCTAACTTGAGCCTCACTATCCTCGTAAAAACTCTTCACTGCTTTCAGTAACCTACCTCCTACACCATACACTTGCAACATCTGCCACATTGCCCCCCTATCCACCTTGTCATACACCTTTTCCAAATCCATAAATGCCACAAAGACCTCTTTAGCCTTATCTAAATACTGTTCTCTTATATGTTTCACTGTAAACACCTGGTCCATACACCCCCTACCTTTCATATATATATATATATATATATATATATATATATATATATATATATATATATATATTATATATATATATCGCAAACGGGCGAACTTTTAACATTGCCTCAGTCCACAGCAGGATTCGAACCTGTACACACTGTATCGAAGTACACAGTATTTCTGTGTGTATATACTGCGAATTTAATCCCTATTTTAGGGATTAGAGAAGTGTTGACTGGTGGTGAACAGGTGACGTGCAGCCTTAATGATCCTCGTGTAGTCAAAAGGCTTAATTAAAACCCCATTAACCAACTTAGATGAACTGCAGTGTAAGCGTCAATATTGTTGTGGTTGTTCACTAATTCTAATGGACGGCGTGGAATACTTCTCAAGACGCGGGACCGACCACCTCAAAACTGCTACTTTAAGGCTGATGGACTGATAACGCCAGCTTTACAACTCCACTGCTTTTGCTGTTTTTGTTTACCAATCCCCGTAACTGACGTTTGGCCTATTGTGTAGGCGAAACGTTTCGCCTACGCAGACCAAACGTATT